CTGTTGGTTGGGGAACATCTTGAAGGACGCGGCCGGCCAATTCAAGCATTAATTCCAGGCGCCATACGGGCCTCCTTTTGGACACGAGGGGTCCACTCGAACGGTGGATTGCCAAGACCCCGTGTCAGTGCAGCGCTGTGGCGCGCCGTGATGGCGCCGTGTCGCAACGGCGTTGCAAAGATGGCGCCCGAGGGCCCCGTAGAGGGAGCGTTGAGAGTATTGGGCAAACAAGAATCGGGGCCAGGGAGGTATTGGGCAAACAAGGGATGGGGGCACGACGGCATCGAGCAAACTAGAAAGGTAAATGAAGTCAGCAAATCGCGCCGTGTCGCCAATGCATTGCCGATGCGGCTCGTGCGGGGCCCGATGTTCTGCCAGCCGAAGTGGCCGATGCGTCGTCGTCGTTGCCGACGCATCGCTGGTGCAACGCCGATGCAACGCCGATGCACCGCCGACGTGTCGGCGATGCGGCGCGATTCTCCGACCCCGTCTACTCCGACCCCATCTAGGAGGCCTAACTTTCCTTCCTCGGGCAAATCTTTTATCGTCATCGTCATTGACCATCCTCATTGATCATCGTCATCATAACTGGGAAAAAGCTTTTATCATCCCCGCCAAGACCCCGAACTTTACTATCCCAGGGGGCTCATGATCGCCCGTGGACGGTGCATGGAGCCTTCACTTTCCTGCAGCCGTTGCCCCTCGTCGCACCACCAGGCGTGTCGTCATCGGGCCCCCCGCGCGGTCGCGGTGTGCGGCGGCGGGGCAGGCCGCGCGGCTGACCCGGGGGCGGGCGCGCGCTCGGTTGCACCGCCTTGGCGCAGACTGCGGGTTCCCCCCCCCCCCCCCCGAACGCTCACTGGCTAGGGGGAACTGGCCCGCGCGCCCCCGCGTACGCTCACTGGCTAGGGGGAACTGGCCGACGTGCAGGAGTGTGAAAAGATAGTATATTCAAGAACCTTGCCCCATTCCGCCAGTCCCCATGTGAGTCAGGAATCCAAGTGATGTCTGGTTGGACCGCTATCATCGACATCCCCTGCAACGTCGACACCGCCATTGTCATCATCATCGTCGTAAGCATCATCGTTATCATACCCATAACCTCACATGATCTTTATCGTCGCTAGCGGAAGCAAGCCACGAGTTTACCACTCTATTCCCCTTTTTTTTTTTCTTCTGGTCGCCACGTGCGGCATCCAAGAAAGGGCCTCGCCTTCGAGGGTCGAAGGAGTCGAGTCGGTGCCCCCTCCTCGGCGGAAGGCGGCGGAGGGTGGCGGAAGCCACACGAGGCCGCCTCCGCCGCCGGAAGCAGGCGGGAGCTCGGCAGTGTAACCAGATGCCTTTCAAGAGATGGCCGCGTGCTTGGGTCAGGGTTCTTTGAGAACGCCTCGCGGCTCTTGCGCCTGCAAGGGAGGTGTCGTTCGGGCGGGCTGGGCGTGTCGCCACTGGTGTCGGCAACGGAGCTGGGCGCATGAAACAGTTGCACACGTGGATGGGCGGGCCCTTCTTAAGAATGTGATTGCAGCCGTGGATTGGAGAAGAGGGATGTGCTACAAGGTCGGCGGTTTCGTTTGTCACAGGCTTCTAACTCAGACACTAAGCCGGCAATAGAACACGGAAGTACACAATTGTCACCACATTCGCAACCAATTCTCAGTGCTACCCTAAAGCTACCAGTGAACATCTGTGGATTCTTGGGATTGGGGTCTACCGCTGTTTTGCACTGTGCGGATCTTGCCTGGACATTTCCGGACACTCCGACTTACTGTCCCGGACAGTTGGCTATCATGTAACAGTTTCGTTCGGGAGATTGTTCAAAGAAATTTTGTGTGCCCAATGTTTTCCAGACACTTTTGCCCGGACAACCTGGTGTGCAGGACCGTATTCCCAGGCAGGATCGGCGTTCAGCGGCCATGGACGTTCGAGCGACCCCGCTCCGATGCGCTGTTCGATGACATGACTCCTTATCAGCTCTCGGGTGCTATCACTGCTTGCTGCCTTGTTGCTATCTTCGGCCACGTGTTAGTGTTCTATGAATGCGTCGGCCGCTCTGGCGTATCGGGCTACCGGATGTGATTGGCTTCCTGCTAAAGCAACGTGTACCCCCAATTTGACCATGATGCCGCATTCCTTTGAATTGGGACACCTCACCAGCTTCGCGGATAGACGGCGGCCCGTTTTCGAAATAGGTCTTCCGCTCCACGGGTACTCAGGATACCGTGTTGCAGCGATGTTCAGAAGTCCCCCCGCGCCCGGCTCCCAGCGCCTCCTTGAGAACGAGCGCCCCCTCGGCTCGCCCGTCGGGCGAGCCTTGCCTTTGAACAGAAGTCGGCATCTCCCTCCGTCCTGCTACTTGCCAGGGCTGCGCAATAACCTGTAGCCTGATCGAGCAAGTCTCCGTCGAGGGAGCGGCCGCGTGAGCCAAGGCACAACGACACCCCTCGCCATTCCTTTTCCAGACGGGGCGTTGGAGGAGACTCATGCCTGGGCAAGAAAGGACACCCAGGCTGGTTGGACACTCGGCTCGAGGCAGTGGGCAGCTCCGCCACAGCCTCCAGTTGTAACTACCGCCGGCTTCGTTCTGGCCGATCCTGGCCGCCTAGTATTTGCCCTGGCCACGGCGAAGTACGCGAGGCATTTTGTCAGGAGGGGGGGGACCCTTTAGGCCATTGTCCCGAGCCTCGCGGAACGGAATACCGCAGTATGACCGAACCCGGGTGAGAGTTCAGCCAACACCTTTTTTCTCATACAGGAGCCGCAGTCATGCCGTGCAGGAGCTTAGAATTAGGTGTTCAGCATCACTCAGGAGGGAAAAGGATATACAGACAGAATTAATATTCGACCCCCAGGAAAATATGAGAAAATATGGGAAGTGGGGGAAAGACGACAACCAAGAACATATGGGAACACATAGGGAATCCTTTAATTTGTGTATTTATTTGTGTGTCCCAGGGCCCTTTCAGTCATGTTGAAAGGACTTTCTTCGGAGAGCACCACTCCGTCCGTGCAGCCGTTGTGCAGGCTGCAGGCCTGCGCCACTGCGTCCTCAGAACTCGTCAGAGAGAACCCCGTCTTTGGCACGACACCGCTGTCCAAGTGCAGTGATTTTGTGTTGAAGCTGCGAGACACGTGTGCATCGAGCTACTGCGAGAGCGTCGCTTCGGAAACGGCCCCTGCCCCACCCGTGTGAACTGTGCAGACGCACTCGCGCGGCGGGAGCTGAGGCGAGAGCCGACCCCTGAACACGACGATCCCTCTACCCTTGTAGCTTGTTTGAAGTTTTAGTATTCAGGGACTGTAAGTTCGCGGAGAAAACGGGTGAAACGCCTGGCTTGCCTTGCCGTCTCCTGGCGGAACGACGGAGAGCGGCTACTTGCGATAATGAGGGCGGAGGAGGAGGAGGAGGAGGAGGAGGAGGAGGAGGAGGAGGAGCGGGAAAGAGGAGGGCGCAGGAGGCTGTGGGACAGAGGGGGACTGCGTGAGGCCGTGTGGTCGTGTGCGGCGCTTTTGCCGCGGCCATTCCGCAGCCCTGGGCGACGAGATCTGCGAACCCACTGCCATCGTACATCCGGCCCCTTCCCCGCGCAGCGAAGTCATCCCGCACGAGATCCACGGCAGCGGGATCCGCGGGAGAAATTGCGGCATCCTGGCAGCGAAGCCCCGGCCAAAGATCCGTGGTGGGGCAGGCCTTGCGGGGAGCCAATGCTGTCTTATGAGGGTTTAGTCGCCTTTAGGGGCGCTCAGTGCCCCATTGGGTGGGCCTTCAGTGGCCCTTAGGGCCCAGAGTGGGCCTTAGTGGCCCTCAGTGGCGTCAGTGGTCCTTTGTGGCCCTGGGTGTCCCCTTAGTGCCCCTTAGTGGCCCTTAGTGAATAAATGGATGCCTCTAGTGGCCCTTAGGGGCACTGAGTTGCCCGCAGTGTTCCTATAGTGTCCCTTAGTGGCCCCTTTAGTGGCCCTTCAGTGGTCCCTCTAGTGGCCTCTAGTGGCCCTGAGTGGCCCTTAGTGGCCCTCATTCACCCCCTTAATTAACAAATCCTTTGCCTTTCTTCCGAGGCCATCCCCTTCCCCCCATTTGCCCCCGCATTTGCAGATGATCCTCCTCCTCCTGCTCATCCTCGCCGCGCGGCGCTGCTTCGAACTTCCAGGAGACTCCGGGGGCCACCATGGGGCCACTGAAGCCTCTGGATCTGACCACTCTCGGGACGACATGCGCTCCCCGCAGAGGCTCTCTGACCGTGGTGGCGAGGTCGGCCAGATGCTCCGCGGCGGCCACTGAGATCCGAAGAAGTACAGTGCCGTTTTTAATATATGCTCCGCGTGCGATCATGTGTTAAAATGCAGGGCTTAGTATTAAAAGCAACGATGAGTTCATGCATACATGCATTCATAGATTCACCATGTATTAAAATCATCGATACTTAAAAAAACGATGTATTAAATTTTGCCCTGTAGCGTCACGCCGTGCAAGACCACGGCCGGAGCACTCGGCCCCACCTGCTTCTGCGCGGCTGCTCTCGGCCCCAGATCGGTCCATACAGGCAATTCTGGGCGTGACGCTGGGCAGGATTGACGAGGACCTGTTCCTCCTCCTCCTCCTCCTCCTCCTCCTCCTCCTCCTCCTCCTCCTCCTCATCCTCCTCCTCCTCCCCCCCCTCCTCCCCCCTCTCCTCCTCCTCCTCCTTCCCCCTCCTCCTCGCCCTCCCTCTCTGTGGGCGCTCCCGCCGTGCGCCCAGGAAAGATCGGTCCACGAATGTGCGTCGTGTCTGTCCTCAACGTCGCGCAGGATTGACATCCGCGGCCTGGGTGATCGTTCTTCGGGACCTCGGCAGGCGGTGGAAATGGATATGTGCGGGAAGGGGGTCCGCGGGGCACGGTTATTCATATCCAAAGCCTTCCGAGCCCCCCCAAGCGAATCTCCCAGGAGGAAGCTATCAGTCCCCACCGAGCGGCGTCCGCGGACCCCCCCCCCCCTGACAGAGCCCGACGCTGCGCGCGGGGAGGCGTTCACCGCGCGGCACCTCTCGCGGCTGCTGGAGTACGAGGCGGAGAGCCGGGTCCGGGCCGAGACGCTGAAGAAGGACCGCGGCCGAGCCTTTCAGGAAGACAGCTCTTCTAGGCCGGAGTAGATGGGGTCGGAGTAGATGGGGTCGGAGGATCGCGCAGCATCGCCGATGCATCGCCGATGCGGCTCGATGTGGAGCCCGATTTTCTTCATGCGGGCGTCGCGGATGCATCGCCGACGTCGCTGATGCATCGCCGGTGCATCGCCGGTGCATCGCCGATGCGTCGCCGATGCATCGCCGATGCGGCGCGATCCTCCGACCCCATGTAATCCGACCTCATCTATAGGAGGCCTCTTAGTATCGGATCGGGAGGATTGCGCTGGGAGAGATGAGGGTACCAATGCTCGCAGGCGGCTCACGGTTTCGTCCACCTCCGCCTCCTCCTTCTCCTCCTCCTCGTCCTTCTCCTCCTCCTCCTGCTCCTCGTCCTGCTCCGCGTCCTCGTCCTCGTCCTTGAATCCTCCTGCTTCTCCTCCTCCTGCTCCTCCTCCTCCTCCTCCTCCTCCTCCTCCTCCTCCTGCTCCTCCTCCTCCCAACCCCCCTCCTCCCAACACGAGGGCTGTTCTCCTCGGCCTCGGGGCTCGGGGCTCGGCGTGCGCTGGTTCGGCCGCGCGGGCTCCGGCGATCGATCTGCTGCGATCCGGGCCTGCTCTTCGAATGTGTTTTGTTCGCTGGCGCGGTCCGCCCGTCCGCGCAGAGACGCGCCGCAGCGCTCGCCAGCGCTGCTCGACTAGGCGTAAGACTGACCTTTCGCCGGAGTGACCTTGGGTGCGGGCACAGAGGGGACCCCAGATGGCCGAGAGAGAAGCGGTAGCAGCGGCGTGCGCGCTTGTTTTTGCCCCCCCCCCCCCCCGCGGTCACAAAGAGCCGCGCACCAAAGGTCCACTCCTGCCCAGGGCCACTCTGGCGTGTAGCCGAGCTGCCGAGCAAGAGTTGCTCCCGATGCCGGGCCCGCCCGCGGGCCCCAGGGGCCGTGCAGAAGGCACCCGGGGCGACCATCTGGGCCTCATGGAAGGGGTCGTGGCCTCTGGGCCGCGCGCTGGAAAGATCATCCCGTCTTATGATGCTCCAGCCTACTCATAGCCTTGATCACCAGAAGGGATCTCGAGCACCAGAAGAATACCGGCACTCGAGGGTTGTCGCGTGCCGGGCCCTGGGAGGCACTCGTCCGACACTGTTTCGACCTTGTTTCGACACTTCTCCGGGTGCTCGAAATTAGTTCTGGGTTGTGATCCTTATAGTACGATGGTAGCAACCTAAATCCCGTCGGGCGTCTGGGGGCGGAGCCCGTGAGCTGCGCTGGCGCATCTGCACCGAGTCTGGCGGGGCCGATGCGGGGCCCAGGAGTAGCGGAGATGGCCTCCTGGCCAGGGTTGACGGGCGCGCACACACCGGTGATCCCGGGCCCCGGATGGGCCCGGCCAGGACGCAAGGCCCCCTCGAGTCTCGCAACACACCTCACGACAGGTTTTTCGCTATTTTCGGCCCCAGCGCAAAGCAGGTCCTCGGGTTTTTATTTTGAGTTTTTTTCAGTCACAGGTTTTTCCTCAGAGGTCTTTCGCCACAGGTTTTTTCGCTGCAGGCTTTTTCGCTTATGTCTCTTGAGTCCAGTCTCGACAGGTTTTTCGCAATTTTCGGCCTTTGGGGGCCCCTACGGGGCCTCGGGGCCGTGAAAAAAACGACTCGGGATGAAAAGCCGGTCCCAGGGACTGGGTCGAGACCTCTGGGCGTCGACGTCATGGAAGAATCTTGACGTCGGGGGTCTGGGATTGGGGCAGATGAGCAGTTGCCGTTCGCCTACTGCCGGGGCCCCGGACTTGGGCTGCGTCTCCCTGGAAGCTGTTTGCGGTCGCCGCCGTTGCCCCACATGTTCTCTTGTGATGTCAGTGGCAAAGATCGAAATGCATTGGGAGCCAGGAGCCGGGAGCAAGGAGGGCGGCCGTCTGTGAATCGTCTGGGCCTCAAGTATCACAGGCTTTGGCTTCGTTGAGATGTAGGCAGGAATATGTTGACACATAGCTATGTGGAACCGCACACGTACCTTCAAGCCTTGCAGGAATGGCCCCAGGGGGCCGCACTGGACGGGCGCAACCATCTCCCCCAGGATAGTGTATGCATCGAGTGGCCTTCGGATCATCCCGCCACCGCGCCTTGGTTGTAGGTCGGAGGTTTCTTGAGGCGCCTTGGCGATCTCGTGGGCCCGAAAGGGTCGTGCGGCATGCGGGAAGACGGCCTGGGGGCGCCGGAGGCCCCTGGAGATTTGAGAGTTCGGAGTCGGGGCCCCTGTGAAAAATCGCCCAGGTGGACGACGGAGGCTCAGTCGCTGGACCGAGGGACCCGAGGGCACTCCAGCTCGTGCCTCGCAGGCACGGTGGTGGGCAAAGCCAGCCTGCCTCTCGACGACGAGCAGCTTCGGGGGCCTGCGCGACAAGCCGTTTTCACTTCTAGCCACAGGCGTCTGAAGGCACATAGGGTGTCGCTACGTGCGTAGACTCTCCGGACGAGTGCGTCCAATGTGCAGCGCGGCCGTGGCGATCGGCGCAGTACGAGGTCGAAGGGTAGATCCGTCGACAGTGCGCTCCTGATCTAAGGCAGGTCCCACACACTACTGCAGGGCCTCCTTCTGGCCGCCCCACCCCGTGGGCGCCGAGGAGGCGGGTGTTCTCTTGCTGCTCGTGTGCCAGGGACACGCAGGGGGACAGGGCGGCGCACGTGCAGAAGCAGGGTGGCTGTTGTTGCGAGGGGCCGCTGCCAAGCTTAGCTCGGGGCAGGAGGAGAAAAGGGAGAAGGGAGGAGGCGGCGGAGGAGGCGGCGGCGGAGAAGGAGGAGGCGGAGGGGGAGGAGGAGGAGGAGGAGGAGGACGAGGAGCAGGAGCAGGAGGAGGAGAAGTAGGAGGAGGTGGAGGAGCAGGAGGAGCAGGAGAGAAGGAGGAGGAGGAGGAGGAGGAGGAGGAGGAGGAGGAGGAGGAGGAGGAGAGGAGGAGGAGGAGGAGGGGGGGAGGGAGCTAGAGGAGGAGGAGCAGAGGGAGGAGGAGGAGCGGAGGAGGAGGAGGAGCTAGGTACCACATTCGTCTAAACAGAAAGAGAGAGAGAGAGAGAGAGACCATATATGATGAGAGAGAGAGAGAGAGAGAGAGAGAGAAACTGCCCCGCAGTGTGGAAACTCCGACGGAAAGGCACAGCTCCAGCAGGCTCGCGGCGCCCCCTGCAACAGCATCGAAGACAACAGAGGAGGAGGAGGAAGAGGAAGAGGAGGAGGAGAAGGAGAAAGAGGAGGAGAAGGAGGGGGAGGAGGAGGACGAGGACGAGGAGCAGGAGGACGAGGAGGAGGATGAGGAGGAGGAGAACGAGGAGGGGGAGAGGAGGAGGACGATAGGCAGGAGGACTAGGAGGAAGACAAGGACGAGGACGAGGACGAGGAGGAGGACGAGAAGCAGGGTGGATAGGAGGAGGGGAGGAGGAGAGAGGAGGAGGCGAGGACGAGCAGGAGAGGAGGAGGAGGAAACAGGAGGAGGTGGAGGAGGAGGAGGAGGTGGTGGTAGAGGAGGAGGAGGAGGAGGAGGAGGAGAGGAGGAGGAGGAGGAGGGAGGAGGAGGAGGAGGAGCGGGAGGAGGAGGAGGAGGAGGAGGATGTCCCGAATCACAAAAGGAAGGGGCGTCTGTGACCAAATGCCTCTCAGCCGAGAGGGACAGATCCTCCACAAATGCGTGACATACGTAGACCGCAAGGCACAGCTTCTGCGCGCAAGCGACGCCCCCTGCAACAGCATCGAAGGCACCAGATGAGGGCAGGAGGAGAGGGGGCAGGAGAAGGAGAAGGAGGAGAAGGAGGAGGAGGAGGAGGAGGAGAAGGAGGAGGAGGAGAAGGAGGAGGAGGAGGAGGAGGAGGAGGAGGGGGAGGGGGAGGAGGAGGAGGAGGAGGAGAGGGGAGGAGGAGGAGGAGGAGGAGGAGGAGGAGAAGGAGGAGGAGGAGGAGGAGGAGGAGGAGGAGGAGGAGGAGGAGGAGGAGGAGGAGGGAGGAGGAGAGGAGGAGGAGGAGGAGGACAGGATGAGAAGAAGGAGAAGAGGGAGGGGAGGAGGAGGATGAGGAGGAGGGGTGGAGGAGGAGGAGGAGGAGGAGGAGGAGGCGGAGGAGGAGGCAGGAGGAGGAGAGGGATGAGGAGGAGGAGGAGGAGGAGGAAGGAGGAGGAGGAGGGAGGAGAGGATAAGAGCAGTAGGAGGTGGGGAGGGTAGTTGTTGTTGCGAGGGGCCGCTGCTATGCTAAGCCAGGGCAAGAGGAGGAGGAGGAGGAGGAGGAGGAGGAGGAGGAGGAGGGATGAGGACGAAGAGGAAAGAGAGTCGTAGTAGCGAGGGGGAGGATTAGCAGGAGGATAAAGAACGAGGAGGAGGAGGAGGAGGAGGACAGGGAGGAGGAGGAGGACGAGGAGATGAGAAGAAGGAGGAGAGGGAGAGGAGGAGGAGGATGAGGAGGAGGAGGAGGAGGAGGAGGAGGAGGAGGAGGAGGGAGGAGGAGGAGAGGGAGGAGGAGGAGGAGGAGGACGAGGAGGAGGAGGAGCAGGAGGAGTATCAAGAGGAGTAGGAGGCTGGGGAGGGTAGTTGTTGTTGCGAGGGGCCGCTGCTATGCTAAGCCAGGGCAAGAGGAGGAGGAGGCTGAGGACGAAGAGGACAATGACGAGCTCGAGTAACAGGAGGCAGAGGATTAGGAGGAGGAGGAGAAGAACGAGGAGGAGGAGGAGGAGGAGGAGAAGGAGGAGGAGGAGGAGGAGGAGGAGGAGGAGGAGGAGGACCAGAAGGCACAGAGGCAGGGAGGGAGGGACCCGCTGCGACCGGGCCGCCCACCCGCCCCGGCGGCGTGGGCCCGACCGGAGGATGCCGCGGAGAGGGCCGAGCGCGAGAAGAAGCCGGCGCCCAAGAAGCAGCGCAGGAGGGGGCGTCTCGGCGCCAGGGAGGGGGGAACCCAGACATGCTGGCGTCGCGAAACAGAATCGCGACGGGAGGTTTGTGGCCGCTTTCGGCCTCTGGGCGCCCTCACTGGTCGCCGCGGGGCCCTCGAGACACGACTCGGGATCAGAAGCCTGTCCCAGGGAAGGGGGTCGGAACGTCCCAGGGGCCCCCGCAGGGCAAAAACAGGGCATCGCATGCCAGCGAAGTCAGAGCCTCCTCTTCCTTCTCCTCTGCCTCCTCCTCCTCATCCTCCTCGTCCTACTACTCCTCCACCTCCTGCTCCTCGTCCTGTTCGTCCTACACCTCCTTTTCTTCCTCCTCCACCTCCTTCTCCGCCTCCTCTTCCTCCCCATCCTTTTTCTCCTCCTCCTTCTCCTCCTCCTCCTCCTCCTCCTCCTCCATCTGCTCCTCCTCCTCCTCCTCCTCCTCCTCCTCCTCCTCCTCCCCCTTCCTTCTCCTCATTGTGTTTGACATGTTGTTTGGTTGTTTCGCCTAAAATCCGCCTGCAGGAGGACATGCCCGACCTAAGGGTATCCGAATCGTCCTGAACGGCCGCCAGAGGCCTGAGTTGGGACCCGAAGCCGCCATGTTCTTGGCTCAGGAGGGAAACGCATCGACCACCCATCGCCCATTCATTGCCAATCGGGGCCCGATGGCCCGCCCCACCCGGGACCGTGCAGATTCTCTATCGGGGGCCTTCGGCCGATCTATCGGCGATGTATCACGGATTCTAGGTCGATGTGTCCCCCTCTTCTTCCATGCATCGGATGAGAAAGGCATACCGCTTCCAATGCCGGTGCGGTTTTCTCGTTTTTTTTTGGGGGGGGGCCTGGAGCCCTTGTCGCACGGTTGGACTGGCCTCGGGGTCCTGATCACGGCCTGCCCCGGGGAAGGTTCATGCCAGGGGGCAGCAGTGACGGTTTTTGTGGTGTTTCTTCGGCATTCGGGTGCCAACTGCGGAATCTCAGCTCTTGGGATCGCGAGAGAACTTCGACTGGTGTTTTTGCCTCGTCTTCGCCCGGGAGGCCGCTCGGATCGACGCGGCTCGAGAGGCGCAACAGAAAGGTAGCGTCGGGAATGCTGGCCGTGGCTCTCCCGCCATTCAATTTTTTTCGCGCGGACGGGTGGCAGTACCAGCAGAGCAGGTGGCACCTTCCCACCGCACTGGAATCGGCAGCCTGGGGCTTGGCATCGCTCGGACGTGTGCATTTTTCCTTCGGCGAGGACCATCGAGGAGCATCCTTGATTATTTGGCGAAAAAACCACGCACGAAACCGACAAAAAACACAGGAAATGGACGTCCGATCGATGGCCAGGGGGGGAGCAGATGCTCGCGCCCATTGGTTGATGCTTGACGTCCGTTCTGGAGCTGCCACGTGCGTCACAGCATTCGCGTGGCCTTGTCTCCCTGGGGGGGATGGGCGCGGAGCAGGCGCTCATCCAGGGCCTCCCTGGAGCTCCGGCGTTTTCTTGCGAAGGCCATGGTAGTTTCCGATCACGGTTGCTTGTCAGCTTTGTTCATTCCAGTGCCGTTTTTAACATATGCTCCGCGTGCGGATCATGTATGAAAAATGCAGGGATTTAGTATTTAAACCAACGATGAGTTCATGCATTAATTCATTCATTAATTAATTAATCGTGTAGTAAAAATCCGATAGTTTCAAATATCCTATGTATTCAAAACTGCCCTGTCTGCTCTCGAGCAATGACAGCCAGACGCGGAAGCACCACACACCTCTGGGATGCAGTGGCGTAGCCTTGTTCGCAAAGGCTTGATGCTGTTGAACTGTGTTGCACGCGGTAGGTCTTCCAGGTGCAGGTAAGTGCGTGGTTGGAAGGACACTGCGAATTAGCTTGCAACAAGTGCAATCGTGGCAACAGTGGGCAACAGCTGTAAATGTCTAAGCGAATTTGCACGAATTGTGGAACTTCATTGGGGCAGCGCAGTGGTAGAACGAATACCCACAGGAAGCACAACCTCAAAGGCGCATCATGTGGCACCACATCTGTTCAATTGTGCAACAAACTATAAGCACACCTGCAAACAGGAATGGTTAACATGATATGACCGCGAAGACGTTCTCTCAGCTGAAGCGTTTGCTTGCGTCTCGAGATAGTGGTGGGCAGTAGCCAGGGAAGTGGACGTGCAGGCAAAGGCAAATGGCAAGGTACAGGCGCATGCACATGCTGCTGCACAGTAGGTTCGCCTGGAAACGCACCATGCGTCGGCGCAACGGCCCGAAAGTGGAAGACGCTTCTTTCTTGAGACTGCAGGTGTTGCAGAGCAACTTTTCAGGCCATTCCGACAACCCCGCGCTGGAATACATACGAGACGGCGTTGTCGAATGCAGGCGGAGCCGATTCTGGTTCGTGCGTGCCACCTGCAAGCCAAGCTGGGCATGAGATGCGTTGGTGCGAGCATCGCACGGGACGAGCGACGCAGCACACACTGTTCTTGAACCAGCGCAGGCGGAGCCCAGCGGCAGGACAAGGCAGACGAGCGACCGACGACCCACGAGCGACAGGAGGGGAAGCGGGGCAGGGCGGGGGAAAGCTGCAGCGCGCGCTCGGACAGGGCCCGGGGAGGTACTGAGCGGCCGAGAGCCGGGCGGGCCCTGCAATCCGCGCGCGGCGTCGACCGCCAGCTTGCCAGTCTCGGCCCCTTGCCGCAGCCCGTCCCCCCCTCCTCTGCCGTGCCCTGCCTCCTTCTTCTTCCCACCCCCCCCAACCTCCCCCTCCTCCCCCGCCCCTTCCCCTCCCCCTTCCCCCCTCTCCCCCTTCCCCTCCCCTGCTCTGTATCTCTCCTCCAGCTCCCATGCCTTGTCTATCACGTCGCCCTCACCCCGAGTCATGAGTGTCCCCCTCCTCGGTCGGCCGGCCGATGTGCGGCAGAAGCCGAAGAGCCAGAGCAGAGCTGGGCCGAGAGCAGGGGGGGGGAGACGCAGCAGCAGATGAAGAGAGAGAGGAAGAGATAGGAAGGCAAACGCTCCGACCCCCCCTTCGCCCACAGACGCGGGTCTGCCTCGACGTGGACAGCCTCTACTTCCTCTTCCTCCGCCTCCACCTCCTCCTCCTCCTCCTCGTCATCACCTCCGTTTCTCATCATCACCAGCAGCATCATACTCCTCATTGTTACCGTCATCAGCAGCATAATCAGCATCATAAAAACCATCATCCACACCATCATCATCATCATCATCATCATCATCATCATCATCATCATCATCAGCATCAGCATCAGCATCAGCATCAGCATCATCGTTAACGTCGTCATCACCATGATGTGTTTTATCATCGTCATCACCATCAACATCACAATCAGCACCAACATCATCATACCCATCACCATCCTTACCGTCATCATCATCATCATCATCAACATCTTCTGTATCATCGTCGTCGCCGTCATCATCATCATCAGCAGAATCAGCAATATCATCATCAGCGTCATCACTACTCATCATTGGCATTTTATCAACAACGTCATTCATGTTAACACTGTTATCATTCATAGCATCACCAACAGCAACATAATCGTCATTCTCATCATCACCACCACCAGCATCGTCATTAGCATCCACAACATCATCGTGATCATCATCATCGTCTCCACCACTATCAGCAGCATCATCACCATCATATGTCATCAGCAGGATCATCAGCAGCATTATCCTCATCACCACCACCCCCATTATCATCATGAGTTGCAGAAGCATGAGCAACAGCATCCTCACCATCATGATCATCATCATCCCTTATCATTTTCAGCAGCATCATCGCCCTCATCCTCGCCTTTCCGCTCCAAATATAATGCCAACCGCGATCGGCGCCAGAGACGCGACCTAGGCCGGGCACCCTGGCGACCAGAAAACAGGCCGGCAGCACACCGCAATCGTCGGCGCCGTGGGTGGGGGTGTCTGGGATGAATCTGCAGGAGGGAGGAGGGGCAGGTGGACGAGGAGGAGGAGGAGGAGGTGATTGGTGACGCCGTCGGCACTGGGTGCCGCCTCGTAGGCGGTGAGTCCGGTGGGAGTAGGGGGAGGAGGAGGAGGAGGAGGAGGAGGAGGAGGAGGAGGAGGAGGAGGAGGAGGAGGAGGAGGAGGAGGAAGAGGGAGGAGGAGAGAGAGGGAGGAGGAGGAGGGGGAGGAGGGGAGGAGGAGGATGAGGAGGAGGAGGAGGATGAGGAGGAGGAGGAGGGGAGGAGAGGAGGAAGGACGAATGAGGAGGGCGAGGAGGAGGAGGAGGTGGAGGAGGAGGAGGAGGAGGAGGAGGAGGAGGAGGAGGAGGAGGAGGAGGAGGAGAGGGAGGATCAGGGGGAGGACGAATGAGGAGGGCGGGGAGGAGGAGGAGGAGGAGGAGCAGGAGGAGGACCAGCGCAAGCCCAAGACGCATCAACGATGTTTTTTGAACACCCTTCACGTCCTACCTGTTCGGCAAGTGTGGCGCTCGCTCCCACCTCTCCCCCGTGCTCCGCGGCATCGGTATGCTTTTCTCTCGCCTGGGGCAGGGCCCGCTCGGCCTTCGGGCGGTACGCGGCCTCGCGCTGTCTCCGTGGTTCTCCTCTTCTTCACGCTCTGCAAGTTTGACACCCTCGCGGTCCTGGCGCTGGTCTTGCACCTTCGCTACCACACGTGGGTCTCCGCTCGCTTCGGCGTGCCGCCTCTGAGTTTTCCGCTCCGCACCGGTCGTGTCTTGTTGCTCTGTTTTTGCTTACGCAGGTGGCACAGCCTGTCCCTGCCGGCTCGGCGTCCGACCCGCTTCGTGCGCCTACGAACCAAAAAGTATCCCCACCAGCCCATCCAGAAACGATGCGCATGAGAGCCTCCGACACTTCGCGGCGCTTCAACAAAGAAACAGGGAGGGGATGGGGAGGGTTCCCCGCCCCGAAGGGAGGAGGAGTTGTGGAAGAGGACAGAGACCCTTGTTAGACCACCTGTCGCCCAGAGGGCTGGTGGGACTTCCAAGGCACCGAGCTGGGCTTCTGTATCGACCGTGGCGCGCGTGCTGTGCCCTGCAGCAGCTTTTCTCCCTGCAGCGCTTCTGTGTCCCACTCCCTGGAGAGCGGCGCGTTTGGGGCGCCGAGGAGGCTTCCCGACCAGCACTGGCCTGGCCGAGGTCCGGGTATACTAATTTCGGGGGCGGCCAAGATGGGGGTGATGATTATGGGGGTGGATATCATGGCGTGGGCCATGATATCTTCTCAGATGTCTTGGCCCCTCTTCTTGTTTCATTACGTCCCTGGCCCCCCACTTGGGCCCCGCACGCGCCGTCGGCCATGATTTGCGCCCCCCCTTGGACGCCCCCCTCGTTGGCCGCCCCCGATCATCACGGAACTGTGCCGAAAAGGCGGCGCGAAACATACCAGATTCCTAGTGCGCGTGGCGAGCGTGTCTGCAGAACGTGTGGCGAACATGTCTGTATGGAACGTCGTGTGGCCAGCGTGTCGGACGTGTGTCTAGGCACGGCACGTGGCGAACGTATATGTAATTAGATGTAGATGTGTCCATGGGCAGCTGCAGGTCGGAAGCCCCTTGTCGGGGGCTAGGGCGGGTGCACACGGGGCGGGGCAGGGAGCCAATCCCCTGCCTTCCATAAGAGAGGAGGAGGAGGGGGAGGAGGAGGAGGAGGAGGAGGAGGAGGAGGAGCAGGAGGAGGAGGAGGAGGAGGCGGCGGAGGCGGAGGAGGAGGAGGAGGAGGAGGAGGAGGAGGAGCAGGAGGAGGAGAGGAGGAGGAGGAGGAGGAGGGGTGTCGACGTTCAGGGGCCTCGCCCAGGCGGCGGATGTGTGCATAGGTTGGACCAGGTTGGGCCCCCCCCCATTCCCCTGGGGCTTGACTTCTCAATGTGCACGTCCACCGCCCGCCGTGGCCCCCGAAGATCGATCCCCCAGGATGTGGAGCCCTTGGATACAGTGGGGGCCCATGCCAAGAAGCACCCTGCTCGCCTCCAGGGTTCCCTGAGTTTCCTGCGTTTCGATGGTTTTGCGATTGAGAGCGCGGCGTTTCAACACCAACGTCCTGGGGTCTCAGGGTTGGGTTTATTGTGGAAGGTTTCTTGTGGACTGGCCCCCACTGGAGAAACTTTTGGATAAAGAGTCCAGGATCTGGAAGCTTGTGGGAGTCCAATCGTGGATTGGCGATGGATGTCACTGCCGCCCTCATCAGATGGGAATCCCCCACGGCCTGAAGCCTCCTGGGCACATTCCTCAACCACTGCCCCCACCGTATGATTCGGTAGCAACTCGTGGGATCTTTTCGTGTCCTCGCAACTCCGTGTCCAGAGTGCCCTAGCGCGCGCCAGCGGCTGGCAGTCAATGCGCAAGCGCCGATGTAGCGTCGATGTGGCGCCGATTTGCGCCGATCCGCACGAGCCAGCAAGATTGCACGGAAGGCTCCCATGAGCTGCCGCCGGAGTATGGCGACGCAGCCCCCCGCGTCGTGCGAATGCCAGGGGCGGCGAAGGCTGCTTGCGCCCGCGCCAGCCCCCCACGAGGGCACGCTCGCGCGCGCGTGCTCCTCTTCCCCACGTCCTCCCTCGTCCGTCGGAGGACGACACCCCACATAGACATGCCCCTTCGGAAGACTGCGCCGATCTCCCTCGGATCGGCGATGGGCCCCCCCTCTCTGGCGCGTGGAGCGCGCCGGGGGCGGCGCCGGAGGCGCCGCCAGGGGGCCCCAGCGCCGACGCATGAGACCCGCGCGGACCTCCGGAAGCGCATGCCGATGCCAGCCGCTGTCCCTCGAGTTCACGTCGTCCCACCCTGCCGCGGTCGCCGGGGCACGGCCGGGATCGACTACAGAATTGGTTCACCCCAAAATGTATTTAATCGCTTCGCTCATTCCGCCTGCCCTCGAGCGCTCTATGGGGCCTCTTTGAAGCCTCTTGGGGGCCTCTTTGGGGCCTCCTAGGGGCCTCTTGGGGGCCTCTTGGGGGTCTCTTGGGGCTCCTCGGCGGCGTCTTCGGCTCCCCTGGGGCCTCCTGGGGGGCTCTTGGAGGCCCCTTGGGGCAGGAGGGGGGGTAGTCGATTGCAGCCCCTCTCGGAGGTCACAATCCTCGTGAGGGGTGGCAAAAAATAGCCTCCCCCCTGGGGATCGCCCGGGGGTCAGCCGGGGATCGGCCGGGGTACTTTTCGTCCGGGGGCCCCCAGGGGCCGCCCCGCGCGCGCGAACTAGAAATATTGTTAGTAGCTATCGGAGATCTTAGCACGCCTCTGGCCCGTTGGGCCGGCGGATTGTCTCGGCGAATGTGCGAGAAATGCGTTGGATGCTCGTGGATCATCACGCATATTTGCTGCTGCTCGGCGCCCCCCCGGGCCGCCTCTGGCAGCCCGCTCTCTGCCGTGCACCTCGGGGCCCGAAGTCGACGCCGCGCGCGCCGCGGGCAGGTCATCGCCGGCGGGCCTGGCGCCGGCGGCGATGGCTCCTTCGCCGCTGGCGCGGCCCCCCCCCTGCCGCCTCCTCCTCCTCCTCCTCCTACTCCTCCTCCTCCTCCTCCTCCTCCTTCCCCTCCCCCTCCTCCTCCTCCTCCTCCTCCTCCTCCTCCTCGTGCTCCTCCTCCTCCTCCTCTCCTCCTCCTCCTCCTCCTCCTTCCTTCCCCTCCCCCTCCTCCTCCTCCCCCCCCCGCATCTCTGCTGCAGATCGAGAGGTCTTTGCAGGCCGTGCGGCTGTCGCATGCATGTCAGCCTCCGGGGCCCACTGTCGGGCCCCCAGGGCCAGGTGAGAGACGGACCCAGGGCGAAATTCTGGCCTCGGGGAAGGAGGCGGGGACCCTTCCGAGGGGGGGGGAGAGAGAGGAAGACATGGGCCGAGGGGAGAGGAGGAGGAGGAGGAGGAGGAGGAGGAGGAGGAGGAGGAGGAGGAGGAGGAGGAGGAGGAGGAGGAGGAGGAGGAGGAGGAGGAGAGGAGGAGGAGGAGGAGGAGGAGGAGGAGGAGGAGAGGAGGAGGAGGAGGAGGAGGCAGAGGAGGAGAAGGAGGAGGAGGAGGAGGAGGCAGAGGAGGAGGAGGAGCAGGAGAAGGAGCAGGTGGAGGAGCAGGTGGAGGAGGAGGAGGAGGAGGAGGAGGGTATTTTGAGCGCACGGACTGCATCGGGGCATGGCCCCCCGCCCCCTCGGCGACAGCAGCGCCGACCAGTCGGCCGGCGTTTTCTTCAGGAAAAGCAGCCTCCTCTGCGCATGGGGCCGCGGAGTGTCGGGCCCGACGGAAGGGGGGGATTGGGAAAGGGGGGGGGTACGACATCTGCTGCATGCAGCTGGTTTCAACCCCGCGGAGGGGTCCATTCCTGGATACATGCATGGCCGCCCCCTGGCGCCGGGAGGCGCCGGGAAAATCAGCTACGTGAGCTGATTCAGTATGGGCCCCGGAAACGGCAGGGCCGTTTTTTCACCGTTTCCAGAAAAATGTCCCTTGAAAATGGAAGCGGCAAAAAAACGGCGGCCGGAAACGGCAAAAAAACACGGCTCCAGGATTTGAACCGGAGCCGGAACCGGTCACAAAACGGCGACGGAACTGGTAACAAAAACGGCGTCGGAACCGGCAACAAAAACGGCAAAACGGAACTGGTAACAAAAAATTGCCTTGTCGTATCCAGGGCCCACTAAGTCTCAGACCCCCTTTTGCTATCTCCCCCTTTCGCCCGACCCGAGACTGACAAGATCAGATCGGCGGACGTATGGGTCCCACGCCTGCGCCCTGCTGGCGTCTGGCGCGGCCTGCACCAGAGCTCACATGGCGCGGCCCTTAGCGGGCCCGGGCAACATCAGGGCCGTTTTTGTTCGGGTTCCCTTTTGCCGTTTTTTGTTGCCGGTTCCGACGCCG